CCTGCCTGTTACCGACTGAGAGAGTCTCTCCCCCAACCCCCTGCATCCATCTGATGAAGTCCTAGCGCTCAGGACCTCGGACCCCGACTGTTTGCAGACAGGGCTTTTGGAAAGGTGATTGAGGCTAAAGGTTATTAAGGTGAGCTGGGTCCTAATCCAGACTGACTGGTGTCCTTGTAAGAGGAAACTTCGACACACTCGGAGAAGATGGGTGTTTACAAGCCACGAGGAAACCACCTGTGGGCACCGTGACCTCTAGCCCCAAACTGAGCCGAACATTCCTACCTGTCTGCAGGATCAGCCTGTCTGTGTCACCCCCTTGTGGCCACATGAGGTAACTGATGCCCTGACAAGAGCTTCTGATACAAAGGGTGGGCAGGGGTGGAGGGCAGGGGTAGTTTGCGGGGTAAAGACCTGAACTGCACACATGCTCGGATGGTTTGTGGGACAATGGGACTCAGACATCACTTCAGGGCTTGTCTGATCACCCATTAAAACGGAACCTCCTCTTCCACTCCTGTCCGGAGCCGTCTGTCTGCGGGGTGGGGGTAGGAGGCTGTGCTGGGTGAGGGTCTGGGCAGGGTCTGGTGCACCCAGGCGATGGGTGAGGAGGGTGTCGGCAGGCTGGACAGGGCAGGGGAGGCTGGCTATGACAGGATGGAGCAGCCGGTCAGGATAACGGGACCGGTTGTCCCTGCTGGAGAAGGAGGTGGCACAGGGAAGGGCAGTGCTGGAGGAACCATGGTGTTGCACTGACGGAGTTACGGGCGTGAACTCTGATTCTCTGCACATGTAGGTAGAACAAGAAATACCATCTCAATGCTGTGTACACGGAGAAGACGTGTGTGTGTGTGTGTGTGTGTGTATGTGTGTGTGTGTATGTATACATGCGGGCGCACACGCCATGGAGAAGGTGCCCACAGCTCAGGGGGCTCACAGGGGACAGGGCTGGGTGGTGCCCAGCCAGGGCTCCCATTTGCTGGCCCCCAGGCCATCTCGTAAAACCCTCCCCAGAACCCTGAGGGTCAGGTGTAGACAAGGGCTGGGGATTCCCCCAAGTCTCCCATAGAGCAAGCATGTCAAACTTGTGGCCCGGGGGCTGCATGCGGTCCACAATGAGTATTTTTGTGACCCAGCCAATATAACAGTATGTAAGAAACATTCTAATAAAAATTTCGTAATTTTGCCGAAACCGGTTTGGCTCAGTAATAGAGTGTCGGTCTGCGGACTGAAAGGTCCCGGGTTTGATTCCAGTCAAGGGCATGTACCTTGGTTGCGGGCACATCCCCAGATGTGCAAGAGGCAGCTTGTCGGTGTTTCTCTCTCATCGACGTTTCTAGCTCTCTCTCCCCCTTCCTCTCTGTAAAAAATCAATAAAATATATTTAAAAAAATTTCATAATTTTTACAACATCCTGTTATACATAATTCACGAACTAGTATTCGCTAATGACTGATTATTATAATCGTGTTGCATTCATTTCCCTCATGTGTCTTATGCACGGGCGCACCATTTCTCTCCACAAATATCAGCAGCAGATATTTTAGCAGCCAATTGCCGTCATTAGCCTTGTACTGACTTGTTTGGCGTGCACAACAAGAAGTATTTCGCTTTTGGAGAACAAGAGAAATGGGCTTATTTGCGTTATGCTTATTAACTTGTGCAGTTATTCAGTGTCTGGTAAGTTAATATCCAAGAAAAAAATATTTTTATAAAAATGTTCTATATTTTGTGTTAACGATGACTCAATTATTTCAGCCCTTTGTATTCAGCATGTCTCTATGGAAATCTACATTTCTATGAAAATCGAAGTTTTTTTTTTTTTTTTTTTTACAGCTCATATAAACTTAAACCTTGTTTATTTGGTTCGTGTTTGCCTTTAAATTTGACATGCTTCCCCCTCGAGCTCCCAGCCCCACCAGAGGTGTGTGGGGTGTGGAGGCAGAGGGCAGTTTGTGTGGGTTTTGGGACAAAGACCCGTGTGGTGGCACCGAGGGCAGAGAGGGGCAGTGCAGAGCTGGTTGGCAGACACCCACCCTCCCTAGTGCACCCCTGCAGGCGGCTAGTGTGTAGCTCTGCTGCCACCTTGTGGTCACCGTGGAGCACTCACCTGAGCTCCTGCCACCTCAGAAAGGGCTTCCAAAAGCCTGACCCAGGACGCCTGGGGATCCTCTATGCTCCCTTAGGGGCAGCGGTCCAGGCCCAGGAGAGGGGCAAAGGCTGGCGTGGAGTGGAGGCAGCGAGCACCCTAGAGAGCAAGGGTCCCTGGATCACCGGTGCCTGGATGGAGGGTACCATCCTTGAGGACGCGTGGAGAACATCTCAGCAGGCACTGTGTCCTTGTCCTTCCGCTGACCCTCACAACCACCCCATGAGGGTGGAGCACAGTTTCCCATGAGAAGCGGCCATGGCAGGCTTTGCTGTTGTGACAATTGAGAGGTTGCATGCTGACATTGGGGGGCAGTGCCTCAGGGAAGCCAGGAGGGCACAGGGCCTCTGCCAAGGGCTTGCAGGCAGTTCTGGTGAGCACCTTCCCGCAGGCCCCAGGGACTGCCTCCAACACACCCCTTTTCCCACCCTCCCTCCAGCTGGGCTCCCCTCAGACTCCCCTGGACATGGCTGCCTTCTGAGGCAGCTGGGCCCAGTTGGAGCTGCCGGTACCTCATTAATCCTGTTCTGTGGGCACAGGCCAAGCCCCCCGCCAGCAGCCGGCCCACTTTTGTGGGGGCCAGAGACTTCCCGTGGCTGAGTGATTGGTCCAAACCGCCTGCGTCAGGAAACCCAGCCTGGCCAGCTGCCTCTCTCTGGAGGGGCCTTAAGGAGGGGATGCCCAGAGCTCCCCTGTCCAGGGGAAGTGGGTGGTTTCCCTAATTCCCTTCCTGCCTGGCTCTGTGCTGGCCCCTCCCTCACCTCCAGCTCCCATCATTCTGCCTCAGTTTCCCCTCCCTTCATTTCAGAGCAGGTGGCACTTTCTGAATTTACATCAGTCGTTATTGTCCCCTTCCCGCCCATATGGCCCAACAGGGCTGGCAGGCGGTCACATTCACCCATCTCCTCAGCACCGAGGCCCGGGCCCTGTGTGGTGGCACTCGGCAGACACCATGCATAGGAAAGAACAACTTGGGCCATGAACAGGACCACCAGCGCTTGAAGTCACGTGCTGGCTCCGGGGGTGGCCAGCAGAGCGTGCGGAAAGGACTGGGTCCCACTCTCCCATTACTCAGATGTGACTAGCCAGTCCTTGCTTCCCCAAGCCTCAGTTTCCCCACTGGAAGGCAGTGGTCAAAGCTGTTGGCTTCCCAAGGCTGTTGTGAGATATGAAAAGGCCACAGCAGCTCAGCTGGGCGTGGTGGGGAGGGAGGGGGACTCTGAGAGCTGGGGCTGCAGGGACAGGGGAGGGAGCTCATGTCCTGTAAGATGGCCCTGTCTCCAGGGCTCCCAGGCCAGGCCCTGCAAGTAGGAGCTGACAAGGCTGCTGGCCGCACTGCATGTGGGCGAGAGTGTGCACGCCCCCCACTCACTGCCAGAGTGGTATCTGACCCCACGTGCTGCCGCCCCGTGCAGCCAGGCAGGCTCAGCGAGATCCTCAGTGAGGGTCACAGAGCCCTGGTGCGCCAGGGCCTTCCTCCGCCATGTGGACCGAGCAGACTGCAGCTGCGGCTTCAGACCCTGTAGGCCAGTGTGGAGTGGTGGCTGCCAGCCAGTGGCAGCCCAGAAAGGGCCTCTGGGTGTGACCTGCTGTCACACCGGCTGCAGAGGCAGCAAGGCCAGCAAGATACAGCCAGTGGACACTCAGATCAGGGCCAAAGCCCCAGCACCTGGCCACCTCTGCATGATCTAAGCAGGTAGGACAGGGTGCTGGTGTCCACGTGGGGGCACAAGGCGCAGAGGGGCCTCAGTGTCTGTGACGGTGGTAACTGCTCTGCCCAGGGCCGCTGTGATGGTCCCTGAGCCAGCGGATAGCCCCCTCCCAGCAGGAGCACCCGCCCCACACTGTACTCCTGCTGAGACTGCCCAGCGCTGCTGCTGCTGCTGGGCAGGAGCTGGTGGGGGCGGGGACGTGAAGGGGGAGCAGTGTGAAGGCGCCCTGAGCATGTAAAGCATGTAGGAAGGTCACTCCGAGGGACAGCAATGGGCCTCCCTCCCAGCATATCAAGGCGTGCTGAGCCTGTGAGGCGTGAAGGGCTGCTGGCTGCCAGTCCTGTGCTCCGCCTGGCCATCTGCGGATCCCGCCCTGGATGGTCCCAGCCGAGTGCCCAAGTTGTCCCCTCACTGAGAGACCAAGAAGTCACTTCCCACTTGGCGACTGAACGGTCACAGCTGGTTTTCTACCTTTAATTGGGGACGTAAAGGTACCTCTCCCAGTACAAGAGGATCAACCATCAGGTGGGGGGCCAGCCCGGCGGGCAGGAAGAGGAAGGGGAAGGGGGAGAAGGGGAAAGGCAGTGGAGGAGACAGTGGGGCTGCAGGAGCGCCAGGCAGGCCCCGAACCCTCCCCTGCAGCCGGGGCTGGGCGCTCTGCCCCAAGTGCAGCTTCGTACCGGGACGGCGGGCAGCTGGGCCACACAGCCCGGCCGCAGCAGCGGGCCAGAGGCTCGGCTCCACGCGGCAGGGCCAGGGAAGGGACCAGAGGCTGCAACAGAAGCTTCTGTTCCCAGCTCCGGCCAGGCCTCGGCTGGCAGTGTGGGCTCCGGAGGGCTCCTCTGCGGTGGGTCACCCAGGCAGGAGTCACCGGGGCAATAAGCAGCCAGCCTGCTGTGCAGGCCTCCGGGTCTCAGCAAAGTCAGAGTGGTCGGCTGGGGGTCGGGGGAGGCAGAGTGGCCAGGATCCCAACGAGGAACTGACCTGCTCGCCCAGTCCACCTGCTGCCTTCCCACTCCCCAAAGCTGGCCCAGCCTCAAGGAGGGCAGGGGTAACACACCACCCCAAGCAGCCTTGACACCGAGGGAGGGAGAGGCCGGCCCGGGGCGGGAGCCAGCGGGCACGAGGTGCCAGCCTGCTCATAAGGCGAACAGCATGTCGTCGTCTTTCTCCCGGGTCTGCTTCTGAGGGGCGGCGCCGGGGCGGGGCGCTGGGGGTCCCTCAGCGGAGGGGCTGGAGAGGCTGGGCAGCCGGTCGGCCACTTTGGCCCGTTCTTCCAGGAACTTGTCGAATTCTAGAGAAACAGAGAGAGGCTGGAGTGACCGAGGCCTGGCGTGGGGCGTGGGGCGTGGGGGGGGGGCGTGGGCAGGGCCAGGGCCTACCTTCGCTGGTGACGCCCTTGGACTCCTCCGCATCGTTCCCCTGAGAAAGCAGGAGCAGAGGTCAGCTGGGCAGGTGTGGGCCTGGGCGGGGCAGGAGTGGGCCTGGGCGGGGCAGGTGCGGGCCGCGGGCAGCGCTCTGGCTGCTGAACCAGTGACCCAGGCACAGGCTGTGGGCCGAGGACCCGGCTGCTCCTCAGCTGCTGGCCGAGGGGTCGCCTGGCATCTGAGCCTGGGCGTTCTGCGAGGTGAAACCCCAGGGAGGGGGAAGCTAAGAGAATCCTGCAGGCTGGGGCCCAGGCCCAGGGAGCGGTGGCAGCGGGTCCTCAATGAACGCTACTCCCTTTCCTTCCGGAGTGCAGAACGCTGGAGGGACTCAGCCCTGCGGAGGGAGACTGACACCCAGAGGCCGAGGCCAGGCGCTCCGTCAGGGGCTGGGCCTGGGGAGCCTCTGCCAGACAGACAGATGGACCCTTCCTGACCTTGGGCAGAGACATGGTCTGGGCTGCTTGCAGAGGCGGCCTCTGGGCCTGTAAGTGCCAGGCACTTGTCTCCTGGCCCCTTGGAGGCGATGCTGGGGAAGGACCTCACTGGGAGACTGCATGCCCGCCCCCCCACCCCCAACCTCCTGCAGGACCCGGCACCCCTCTCAGCTGCTATCAGTCTCCTCATCTGCGAAATGGGCTGTGTGCAGAGCTCAGCACTGCCCTGGCTCCCTGACTGCCCTCAGCTGGCACCCACGGGGATCTTACCAGGTCAGCGTGCTGGGGGAGGGGTGCAGTGTCAGGCCCTGCTCTAAAGGGGGGACACTGCCAGCTGCTGAGGGTCCCTCAGTAATGCTCCCCCCGTCATCCCCAGGACCAGCCTCTTCCTCATGAGAAATCTGGGAGCCCCGTCAGGTGGGTGAGGAGCGGCCGGAGCCTTTGCCTCTGGGCCGGGCGGCCCTGACTCACCACGTCAGTGGACAGCCACTTCTCGATGTCCTCCATGAGGCAGGCCTGCGTGACGGGGATCTGGAAGGGAGAGGACAGTGAGCAGTCACCCTCCCTGAGGCTTCTCACAGGCTCCTGACAGCCGGGCCAGGCCAGGAGGAGAATACACCTCCAGCTCCCACCCCGAGGGTGTGGGCGAGGCTCCAGGCGGCAGGGGGTGGGCTTCTGTAAGGCCCAGGGCTGGGCACAGGCTGGGGGAGGGCAGCTGGCGGAAGGCAGGGAACCCAGGGAGGGCTAAGCTATCGTGTGGGGTGGGGGCACGATTTGGGGAAGGGGCTGCCAGCTCATCTCCCTGTACATTCACAGACCAAGTTCCTGGTGGAGGGCCGATGAGGAGGGAGGGAGGTGCCAAGATGACCTGAAAAGGCCAGGCTGGGGGTTCAGAGGGGCTGGGGCTGCACGGGGACTTGTCACTCTGGGTCACAAAGCTCTGTGTAGACAGGGGCTGGGGGCGGGCCTCCTTCTTGGAGGCTTCTCCAGCGGAAGGATCCGACTGGAGCTCCGGCAGACGTGGGACCAGAGCCTGGATGTGGCTCGGCCGGGGAACGGTGGCTCTGGGCGGGCTACCTCACTGCTCACCCTCAGGGGTAACACAGTGCCCACCGCCTAGCAGTGCCCACCACCCAGTGCTGTGAGACTGAGAAAGACAGTGGGTGGGAGGAGCCCAGCCCCGTGCCCGGCAGAGGGGACGCTCAGGATGCTGGCCACCAGGTAGCGCCTGGGGAAGAGGGAGAGTCTCCCTCCAGCCAAGCTGGTCCCGCCCCAGTTCTCCTCCAGCCTGAGGCCCCGAGGGGAGCAGGAAGCCCTTCCCAGCAGCACCAGCAGCACCACCAGCAGCAGCGCCCTCTCCCAGTAGCTCTCAGGTGGCGGAGGGGATGCCTGGGCGGCCAGAAGTGGCCCCAAGAGGCCGAGAAAGCAGGAGTGGAGGGAGTGGGGCCACCCTGAATGCTGGGCTGGGCCGGCAGGCCTTCTCTCCGCTGGGTCTAAGGCTCCTGCTCCTCTGGCAGCAGCACCGGGCGGGAGCCCCGAGGGACAGCCCTAACTCTGGGGGGCCTCACCATGCCTTGTCTCACCATCCAGTCCCCCAGGCTCTTCTCACTGCCGCCTCCCATCTGGTGAGAAAGGGTCATGCTGAGGGAGGCGGTGACAGGGCAGGGCCCACCGCCCAGCGGCTGGCTCCCGGGACAACAGGACGCTGCCTGGGACGCAGCACAGGCAGCCATCAGGCCGCTGGCTCTGATTCTGACAGCCTCTCAGGCTCACAAACACTGGTTCCGGCCACCTCAGGTTTACTGGTGGCAACAGGAGGCTCCCTGGGCCCAGAGCAGACTGGTGGGCGAGGGAGACAGGAGTCCTGCTGCCCATCCTGGACAGACCCCACGGGGCTTGGCACACACACTGGGGCCAGCCTCTGCCTCTGAGCGGGCACTGACTCCACGCTGGATGTGGCTGCCTGGAACAGGTCTGACGGCCCATGGCGAGCCTGACCACAGCCAGACGGAGCACCGGGAGGAAAGCCCTGCCCTCGTCTGGTGAAGTGACCCAAAGCTCTGGCTACCAGGATGCACTAGCCTCACTGGTCGCTTCCGGCCTCTCCTCCCGGGGTAGCTGCCAGGCAGTGAGGAGGGGAGGCCTGGGCGTGCCGAGCTGCTGTGGGCCCCAGGCAGTGGTGTCAGCCCCTGCCCATGAGGCCAGGTGGCCCGAGAGGAGGTGCTTTTGGCTAGATTCATCCAGATTCTCGGAGCCAGAATGCCGGCCCTCGGACAAGACAGGCGGAGCGCGACAGGCCCCCTGGGTTTGGTACCAGCATTGGCTTGGGAGTCAGACGGACCAGAAGGGGTGGACCCGGGCAGCAGCACCACAGAGACCAAATCCCTCTCTGTGTGCCAGGGCCCCGCGCAGGGCGTTAGAGTGCTCTCACTGGGCTCCCTCTGGGAAGGTTTCCGCTTTGTGGAAAAGGAGAGCGCCCCGTGAGGGTCTGTGATGACCTGGTGAGGGGGTGTAGAGAGCCTGGCGCAGGGGCCTGGTGCAGAGCATAGGCTGCAGACACTACTGCCTACAAAGAGCGATGACGGAGGCTCTGGGGGGCAGGAAGACACATAGAAGCTTGGTCCCGATGGCCTGCTCCAGTGCCCCCAGTCTTGCCTGTCTGACCCGGGAAGGACTCCTGAGAGGCTGGGGGTCTCTGGGATCAGCCAGGCTCCATCACTGCCTCCTCATTGCTCTCCCCCTTCCATGCAGGCCCTTCTATACCGGAAGCTGGATGAGTGTTCCCTCTGCTCACACCTGCCCATCGCTTCCTCCTCACACAGAATGAAGCCCCCCCACCTTCTCAGCTGCCTGGAGCTCTGCAGTCCCAGCTGCCGCTCAGGCTCTGCCTCCCTCCAGCCAGTTCTCCCCCGTCCCCCCCTCCCCCTCCCCGCCCCGGCACGGCCTCAAGCCCCCAACTCTCTCCTCTGCCGGGCACGCCTCTGCTCCTGCCATCTCCAACCACTTCCTGAGGAGCAACTCTGTCCACTCCTGGGACACGGGTGTCACTGTCCAGACCACTCCCAGACACACGTCACAGGGATAAGTGTGCTTGGAGTTCTGGCCAAGGGGGGGGGGTCGCCCACAGAGCTGCTCGGTGCTGGCCCCTGGCGGCCACTCAGTGCACAGCCTGCAGGTAAATGGCACTAGGAGGAAGTCCGGGATGGCTGGGGTGGTAGGGTGGGAAGGCAGGCAGGGAGCTGGGAGGAATGCCAGGCGGATGATGGGAGGGGCGGGGCTGCCGCTGCAGCTCCAGCTCTCTGTTCTGCCCCCCTCTGTCCACACTCCCAGGAACAGGTCTCTAGAGAGGCTAAGGCAGAGGACTGACAGCTCAGTCTGGACCAAGCACTTCAATACACGCTCACGCATCCTATTATCAGCCCTGTGGGCACAGCTGTGAGCTCTGGTGCAGAAGAAGGCCGAAGGCCAGGAAGGTGGTCACCGGCCTGAGGACACAGCTAGGGGGCCGGGATGGGGGGGCAGGTCTGAGTCTCTGCTCTAACTCTTCTCCCATGTGAACTGGGGACTGAGTTTCCTCAGCTGTGACATGGGAACACTCACACTAGCTACAAAGGGCCAAGTGGAGACCCGAACGGGGAGGGGGGGCACGCCCTGGGAAGGCACCCCGGCCTTCCCCGGGCCTCTGCTCACCGCGCCGGTGCTCTGCTGCCGTGCGTCCAGGGCTCCAGCCAGGCCGTCCGTCGCTTGGGGGTCTTCGTATTTTACCCTGAAACAGAGGCCACCATGGCCGTTAGCGCTGCCCTTGCTGTAGGGTGTGCCAGCGGATGTGATGATGGAGGTGATGGGCAGAGAAGAGCTGGAGGGAGGGGGTGCTGCTGGCCCAAGACAGAACTGGATCGCCAATGGCCAACATCAGATTTGGCCGAACTCTAGGGAGGAGAACTAGGGCTTCCAGACACTTTGAGCTGCTCCCATTGGATAATTTAAAAATCGTGGATCTGGGCAAGGCTGTGTTTGAATGGGTAACTAAGCTTGCGGGTGGGCGGCTGGGTGAGGCGCCCTCTGGCGCTGGCTTACTGCACGACATCCCCAGTCTGACAGAGGGTGGAGGGTAATTCTAACCATCCTCTGGGGGTGCCAGCCAGCTGGGCACTGGTTGCGGGATTGGGGGGGGGGGAGGGTTTGAGAAGCTGGGGAGGGATGGGGTGAACACCACAGCTCCCAGGCAGAGGGCAGGGAAGGGGGTGTCTGGTGGGTTTGAGGTGAAGTTTCAGGGGGAGCAAAAGGATAAAGCAGGAGTGGGAGGAGGACCTGGGGTAACGAGGGGGCCTGGTGTCTCCCCTGACTGCTGCAGAGGGATGGGCATTGGGAGAGGCAGTCCTGACGCTTGAGAGAACCGTTATGTTCGCTCTGAACGACAGCAGAGAGGAAGTGAGAACTCAGGACTGAGCCCCAGAACCCCCGTTGCAAAGGGACACCCCTGCACAGGGAGGGACAGGGGAGCACCCACCCTCTGCTGAGGCTGGGCTGCACAGCTGCAGGCTTTAGAAACTGGAGTTGTTACACTGAATGCCTGCCATGCCCATTCACCCTCCTGGGAATGGGGCAGGCTGGTACTTAAAGGGGCCTCTTGAATAAGCCCCCCAAATTCTCACACAGCCACTTTGGAGAGCACCGGGGTCCACTCCCCCATAAGATGTGCAATCAGCCAGGGGAGCCGGCCACACCTGGCTGCAGGACTCGCGTTCCTGGCCAGTGGGCTGGGGCCCGACCATCTGCAGGGTCTCCCTGGGGCCAACCCTAGGGGGAGTTGCGGGCAGTGTGCTCTCGTCCTTCCGGTGCCAGCTGAGTGCCCCTGGCTAAATCTGGGCAGTGAGCGCAGCGAGGAGGCGGCGATGCCAAAGATTGTGCAAATCCCTGGCCCAGGGAGGCTGTTCCCTCAGGTGCAGTCACGCTGCCGTCCCTGTGCCCGGGCACAGGTGCTGGAGGACAAGGCAGAACAGGGCACGTCTGGCCTTGGAACAGACAGAAACCGATGCTTCCCTTCCCTCCAAGAACTGCATGTTCTCTCCTAATTACCCCCTCCCCCCCATCTCCCTCTTCCTCTCAGCACACACTGCACGGCCCTGAAGGCGAGGCGAGGCCATCGCTCGGAGCCGTGCCTGCAGCAGCGGAGGGCCCAACACACCCGCTGAAGGACAGTGTCACAGCCCAGACAGGGCTGCAGACCTGGCCAGGTGTCTGTGGTCCATGCCCAACACAGGAGGGAGGGCTGCTCCTCACATGGTCCCGTAAGGCTGCTGACCACGAGACCACTTAGGGTGACACAGTAGCACGGGAGGAAGCGGACTGTGTCCCAGAACAACAATGTGGGAGAAGCTGAGGAAGGGCCTCCCTGCTTTGGCAAAACCTGGCTGAGGCGCCTCTGTCTTGGCCGGCCCAGATGCCCCCTTGCTCTCCTTGGTGCCCCGAGGGGAAGGGCTGGTCAGGTGGAGAGGCCGGGACTGTGCCAGCTGTGTCAGGACGGGACAGAAACAGAGAGGCTGCCAAAGAGCTGGCTTCCTGGTGAGTGGAGGCAGAGCTGGCACCAGATACCAGGTAGACAGGCCTGGGAGGGTCTGAGAGTCCCAGGGAAGGAGTCAGGTGACCAGGGCTAACGAGGCAGCTGGAGCAGAAGGAAGGAGCCAGGCAGGAGGACAAAGGGCTGGGGAACTCGGAGCTGGGGCACATTCCTGCCCCTGCAGGGCACTGGCACTTTCTGCTGGGTGGAAGCCAACCCCGGGGCCTGTAGGATGCTGTTTCAGACCACCTGCCCTACCCCCTGCTCTCTCCTACCTCTGACCTTTGCACATGCAGTTCCATGGCCTGAAACGGCCATCTGGACCCTTGCCTCCGACCTGCTGTCTGAGTTGCAGTGCCTGGTACACCCCTCCAGCACTCAGCACTGCGAGATTGCAGGCCCTGGAGAGAATGTTCCAGAGTGCTTTCCTTTCTCTCCTAGGGCGTTTTTCCAGTAGCTGGCGATGGGCTCTCTGGTGTGGCCAGAGTGCCACCTGCTGGGGCCTCGTAGGGGGATCACCTCCTGGCTGTTAGGTCCCACCGGACTCATTAGCTTCCACCTGCACAGCAGCCTCATGTGCCCTAACTCCATGGCAACCATGAGCCACTGGTCCCAGAGCCCTAGGTTTGAGACTATAGACGCTGCCCCAATAAGGATGTGACTCCCTTTCCCAGAGATGGGTACGGCCAGTGGGCAGGCAACCCATGGGTCCTGGTGGGCTACACCTGGATACGCCAGGATGGAGAGGGTAGTTCTGGGTCCTTCAGAGGCCCATTGACCGTTTCCAAAGACACCAAAATGACCACTAGGAGCTGGTCCACTGGGACAGGTCCTTAATCCAGAGCTGTCCTTGGCTGTCTGTCTGACCAGCCCCAGCCCAGACTCAGGGTCATGAGCAAGGGGCCAAGGATAAGGACGAGCCTCAGCACCCCGCTTCTGACACGCCTACATGGATCCCATCACGGGAAGCTGAGGCAAGTGCTGGTCACGTGCCGGACCACTGAGGGCATTTCCCTGGAAGTGGGCAGCCCTCAGCTCGGTGCAGAGAGGGCAGACCTGAGTGAGGTGGTTGGGACTGGAACGGCAGAAATGACCGGACAAGCTCGAGGACTTACCAGGAGCCTCCCTGCTGGCCCGGGGGCTTGGTGCACTGCGCACAGAGCAGGGGGAACATGAGTCTCAGATGCTATCTGCACACTACAGACCAGGCTCCCACCGAGGAAGCCTCAGTTTCCTCATCCGATCAGATCTTATGAGATTCTGGCTCGTAGCTGGTCAACCTACAGGCCAGCCTTCCCCATCCAGCTCTGCCTGCCGCCTGGGTCTGCTGCCTGGCCACGGGTTCTGTGGGCCACGTGGGGCTGACTTAGGGGAAGGAACTCTGCCTCCCTATGGATGTGTGCTTTTCCACGGGGTGTGCCCACCAACAAGTGGATCCAGGGACCCGGAGAGAGTCTCCTCTGATGGGGAGTGACCCAAACTGCAGGAGGGCCGGCCACTCACTCTCTCTCTTTTTTTTTCTCAATATGGAACACTTCACGGATTTGCGTGTCATCCTTGCGCAGGGGCCATGCTAATTTTCTCTGTATCATTCCAATTGTAATATATGTGCTGCCGAAGCAAGCATGCCACTCACTCTTTCCGTTGGTCAGCCAGGGAGCTGCCCCGTGTTAGGGCAAACATGTCAAACTCGTCCTCCAGGCGGCCGGAGGTCTCCAGAGACTGCAGGCCGGCCCTCACGCTGCTGGAGCCCAGGTCTGCGGGGACAGAGAGGCACATAAGACTCCGCCTGCTGCTCTCGCACGTGCCATGGCCAACCTGCTGCTCCCTGCCGGGCCCAGGGCTGGTTCTGGGTGGGCAGCGCGGAGCGGGTGCACACAGGGCAGGATGCATGAGTGGGTGGGCACCTGCTCACTCAGAGTGATTTCCTGGGCTTGGTACAAAGCAGGCAGTCAGTAACAGTAAGACCAATTACCGTGATATGTCAACGATTTGATGGCTAACGTGTGCCAAGAGCCCAGTCCGGCCTGGCACTGCTCTGAGCCTGGCCCATACCCGAATTCATTCAGTCCTCATAATCACCTGTGAGGAAGGGCCTATTCCTGCCCATCCCAGAGGAGGAAAGGGGCACAGGATGTTCCAGTGACTTGCCCACACTCACCCAGATTAGGCCGTAGAAACTTCAGTGTCAAGGGCACCCCAGAACAGTGGGACTTCTGAGACCCGGGAGGGCTCAGCCATTGCGGGCTGTGAGGGAGAGTCCCACGTCTTGTTCCAGATGCTCAGCCTGGGCCCCCGGTGTGGTGGGGTCTGGGCTAACACTCTGCTGTTGGGGCACCAGCTCCAACTGTAACACAGACGGCACCCCCGGAACTGCAGGGCTGCCCGCACTTACTCATTCCTGCCAGCTGGGACGAGAGGCCGCCAGTGGCTGCTGGGTCAGCGCCCATGTCGATGAGGTCTGCTGCCGCCTCGGCCTCACTGGGGGCCTGGGGGGAAGGGAGACCCACCATCAGGCCCTGCCGGTGGCCTCCCTCCCCTCGACCAGAAGCTCTGGCCCGAGGATCTGTCTCCCGAGTTCTGCAGTTGTGGCTTCTCCCCTTGGCCTCTAGCTCTGCTGCTCCCTCTGGAGGGTGGGCAGACCCTGGGGCACTAGCTGGTGGCAGAGCTTAAAGAGACAGTGATATAAGAAGCTAGAAGGGGACTTTTCTAGGAGCCTAGATAAGGAGGCGCATCCTGCCTGGGATGTGGGGTGGGGGTGAGCACCGCCCTCCTTCTCCCTGTTAACTAGGGACGATCTGGTCAGAGCAAAGCCGATTACCTTGGCCGTCTGGCCGGTCCGGTACCGCTCGAACCTACGAGACAGAAAGAGCGAGTCAGGGAGACAGGCTGAGAGGCGCCTCGGCACGGCCAGGCAGAGCCCTTCATGTGCCGTGAACACCCCCCCCCCCCCCCCCCCCCCCGTTCTCCTCTAGCCTGTTCCTACGGGCTCAGCATCAGCACAGCGGTGAGTCTATTTGTCTGGGCAGACCCAGTGATGCCCGGCGTCCCCAGGGCACTGTTAACTGTGCCTCTTTCACGTGCAGAGACCCAATTTGGATTATCAACGACCTGGCCACTCGGGTCATGATCAGCGTCAGACAAACGAACAGGAATGGGCTAGAGGAGAACATGGGATGCACGTGGCACATGGCAGAGGAGAGGACTTCTGTGGGAGCTGCTCAGTAATCTACTTGCGTATGTGTGAGTGCCAGGGCCTGGGCGGTGTGCGAAAGACACACATTCCTGCACTGCCCCAGGCCACTGGCCACCCTCAGATAGGCCTGGCAGTGGGCGAAGGGGGCTAAGAAGACCTGGTCTGGGGTCTGTTCGAGTCCTGGCCCTGGCCCTTGCTAACAGTGTGACCATGGGTTATTATATCACTTCTGACCTTTCTTCCTTGTCCGTTAAAAAGGGGGTGAGAGAGGAACCTGCCTCCCAGGATGTGAGCATCAAGCAGACACAGTACGAGTGGTTGTGAATGGAAAATACCATCAGGCAAATGCCAGGCCTGCTCTTTCCCCATTTCCCGTGATCCTGGTGGGATGGCCGTCCAGGGCCCACCTGTCCCCCAACCAGTGGGCACAGCAAAGCTGAGCCAGTTTCTCTCAGGGACCTGACCCTGAACAGAATGACACAAGTAGAGGAAGCACCTGGACCCATTCACTGATGGTGACACCTGGAGGACATAGTCTAGGACAGCGGTCACCAGCTGGTAGTCCACGGATCACTGGTGGTCTGTGGGGTCTGGAAGGTTGGCGACCACTGGTCTAAGAGGTTCTGCCCAGAGACCCCTGAGCCGCCCTAGGATCTGTCTGTCCCTCCTGCTCTGTTGGGAGGCCTCGCTGTTCACGCTCCTTTGGACTCTAAAAGCTATGCATTTAATAGAGGCTATTCATCCAATCAACTCCTTTTCTAAGTCAGCCAGAAATGCTGTGTGTACTTGTAGTTAAAGAGTCCTAATTAAGGCCAATAAGTGGTCTGAGGCCCCAGAGCCAGGCAACGGTGAAGTGAGCAAGGACAGATCAACCTGCCTGGCTGTGGGCTCACGCACTCGGCCACTACCGCTGCCCTCTCCAGGGCCTGGACACAGGGACATAGGGCAGGGCTAACTGGCGAGGAGAGGAGAGGAGAGGAGAGGTAGTGGAAGGCGGGGCATGCATGCCCGTGCTGTTAGAAGACAGCTGAGGATACATGCCCTGGGTGGCCGGCCTGGTGTGGGGAGACCAGGGTACAGGGTGGGTACGAGGGAGGGGAAGGGTGGGCAGCTGCAAGGCTGGGGAAGGGTACCGTTCGTGGCGCAAGAACACATTGTTGAGATTGTCGTTGACGATGAGCAGCTCCTCTGTCAGCTGCTCGTTGGCGATGCGGGGGATGAGCTCCAGGACCCGCTGCTGCATGGCTCGGCACGTCCGGTTGAGCTCCTGCCGCGGAAGCAAAGAGGACAAGCATGGGCACCGGACCAGAGCGAGGCCATCTCTCCTGGAAGGGCTCTGGCCCCTGGTGACCTTGGAGAGCAGAGCGGACTCCACACCGGACAGGAGCTCCACAGAGCAGCGCCAGGGGCTCCACAAATGAGCCTCTGAATTCCACTCTGTGCTTCATGCTCACATTCACCAACCAGCTGGCTCAGTGCAGACTTCAGAAGAAAGTTCCTGTTGCCATCTTTGCTTGTTGAAGGACAGAGCTGCCAGGTGGCCCGGCCGAACAAACTGCAGCTTCTCTGGGTTTATTGGGGTATTTTGGTAGCCAAAACATAAAAAATAGACTACAGGGCCCTAGCTGGTTTGTTCAGTGGATAGAGTGTCGGCCTGAGGACTGAAAGGTTCTGGTTTGATTCTAGACAAGGGCACATGTCAAGGGTTGCAGGCTCGATCCCCAGTAGGGGGCGTGCAGGAGGCAGCCAATCAATGATTCTCTTTCATCACTGATGTTTCCATCTCTCTCTCTCTTCCTCTCCCTTCCTCTCTGAAATCAATAAAAATATATTTTAAAGAATACCCAGATGACTCCAACTATTATCAACAAACCCAAATTTTGAATTTTTGCCTTATTATTCACAGACTTATTTATTTTATTTTTTAAAAATATTTTTGTTTAGGAATAATGTTAGATTTATAGAAGAGTTGCCAAGAGTTTCTGTAACCCTTCACTCAACTTCTCCCTAGCCTGGCACTTGTCAGAACTACGACATTAACACTGTTACAATGCCAAAGGCTAAACTACAGGCTTTGTTCAGGTTTTCCGTTTTTCTACTAACGCCCCTTTCTTGTTCCGGATGCCACATTGCATTTAGTCGTCATGTCACTGACGGGCACTTTTTAAAAAAATAAAGTTTGGCTTTTTTTAAATTAATTTTTTTTTTCACCTGAAGATATGCTTTTTATTGATTTTTAGAGAGGAAAGAAGGGGAAGAGGAGCAAAGGTTGGGAGGGGGGAGGGGAGAGAGAGAGAAAGCAAGTGAGCGAGGAAGAGAGAAGCACTGATGTGAGAGAGAAACATCGATTGGTTGCCTCCAGTACGCACCCTGACAGGGGGATCAAACCCCAAACCCAAGTACGTGCCCTGCAGGAAATGGAATCCACCACCATTCCGTGTATGGGATGACGCTCCAGCCACACCACCCTTTTTTCCTGGAAGCATCACTGAGACTAAGCGCTGCCCAATACTAATTTTGGATCTTTCTGGACCCTTTTAATCCGCCCCTCCTAGGTCATTCTCCTGGGATTTCCTTATCTGCCTTTCGAGTGACTTTCAACATCCGGTGGGCCTCCCTTCGCTTCCTTCCACTGCCAAGAGCACTTATGGCTTTGTTTTTTCTTCCTTGTCTACTCAAGAGCAGCAGTTGGAGTCAGGGCCCTGGCTTCCAATCCCAGCTCTCCTGCTTATCAGCCGTGGGACCCTGGGCACATCCCATGACCTCTCCACCTCAGTTTGCTGACCTGGAAAATGGGGATAAGAGCCCCTACCTCACGGGAGAGGGTGAAGATTAAGTAAGTGAATGTTATTAAGCGTCCACATCAGAGCCTGGCACATAGGAAGTGCTCCAGGTCCCTGGGGCACCTCGCCTGCCTGCTCTAGTCATCACTCACTCCCACAAGCAGGGCTCGGGACACACAAAATTAACTGCTTTACAGCAGTCCTGCGCTTCCTAGCTCCCTCACGCTTCTCTCATAGCCCTCGTGTGGTCTTCATAGTCACATGTCCTTTCAACTCTGAGGCTCCGCCTTTCCCCTTGCCCCCATCCAAGGGCAGGAGCACCAGGTCAGCTCCGGTCAGCCCTGCACTCGGGGGCGTGAGGCTGAGCAGGAGACAGACCAAAATGAGACCATCACACCAAGCACCCATCATGGGTCCTGTGGCTCCTGGGCCTTGGGGTCCCCCAGCTTTCTCGGTACCTCTATGAAATGACCTTCCTGGGAAAGGTGCTTTTCCCCAAACCAGCTCCTCCTACTTCAGTGCCCGACCCTCATCCCTCACCAGCTGGGGATGTGACTGCGGGAACATCTCCTGACCCATAGGAGCGAGACCCACAGCTCCCACCTGCCTCAGCCTGACACCAGCTGCTCTCGCATGCTTGTCTGCCACCTGGTAATCTGAAAGGTGGAAATCTTGCCTACCAGCTTTTTCTCAGTTTCATTTAACCATAGCTTACTCCAGACCAGGCACAGTGGGCAAAGCCTTGTCTCATGCCAAACTTGTACCATGAAGGCTATTGTTAGTGCAATCTTACAGATGAGGAAACTGAGGCAGGGGAGCTATTCTGAATTCCAATCTGATGGAGTCCCAAGACCCTGGAGTTCGCATCTCCTGTGGTGATGAAGGGGTTCAGAGAAAACATGGGAACTAGTGTGGGTGGGGAGGGAATGTGTGTGATCACATGAGCATGGAGTTACTGGGGTGGAAGCGGGCTCACCTGCAGCAGCTCCAGGTCTGCGGGCTCTGCCTGGGTGGGCACCAGCTCCGTCAGCATCTCCGACATCACCCTCACGTTCCCACTCACCATCTCCAGCTCGCTGCGCAGCTTCCCGATCTGAAACACACCGTCGCCCGGTGAGAGAGGCCAGGGGCCCGAAGCCGATGCCACCCACAGGGACTGAGCCTGGTGCCACCAGCCGGATGTGGTACCCAGAGGAGCTGGCCTCCAGCACCCTCACTCAGCTCCCAGCCACAGCCCTGCCTACGAGTGGGCTTTCCCCCACTCCACAAGCCCCCCTCACAGAGGATCTACCAACCTTTATCATCTCCAAACTGGGAGCCTGGTGCAGGGAGAGGCCGAAAGGAAAGAAGCGGAGGGCAGATGCACCTCAGAGCCCGGCTGGAGCTCAGGGCTCCTGGGCCCAAGGGTGGCTAACGAGGCCCGAAGGACCTTCCGCCGGAGAGGAGAGTGAGCGGCCGCTTCCCTCTTGGGGGATGGACTCTCCTCTTTCCTGTCCTAGGCCTGCTGTCTTGCTCTTGGTCTGTTTGTGGTTCTGTGTCCCAGAACCACCCCCACCCACTTGCGGAGTGAGAGACAGACTTAGCACTTGTTACAGGGACATGACAGGTTCTCAGTGATCAAGGGCACGAGGTCTTGGCTGGGGGTTCATGGTAATCAGGCTGCAGTCCTTTCACTTGGGTGAAGGGGCAGAGAGCTCCAAAATTAATCTGTCCGAAGCCCCTTTGATCATGAAACATCTCCTGGGTCTCGTATTAAGTGGCTTACACCTTGGGAAATGCTCATTCGAGTAACTGAGTGAATCTCAGGATTTGAATGTCACCATGTAAATTTATAATGTCTGACAGCAGCTACCTTTTACCAACACCGATTAAGTGCCTCAGCGCACAACGTGCATTGCTAATCTAACTTGGCCACCATGCCCTGCCAGCATGGCTCAGTGGTTTAGCACTGACCTATGAACCAGGAGGTCAATGGTTTGATTCCAGGTCAGGGCACATGCCTGGGTTGCAGGCTTGATCCCCAGTGGGGGTTGAGCAGGAGGCCGCCAATCAATGATTCGCTCTCATCATTGATGTTTCTATCTCTCCCTTTCTCTTTCTCTCTGAAATCAATAAAAATATTTAAAAAGAAACACAAACTTGCCCACTGTCTTACAAGGCACCTATCTTTACTGCAGGTGAAGATGCAGTGTCCAGACACAGACAGGTCATCTTCCTAACCCGGAAAACGTTAACTACATCCGGCCTCTTCAATGAGCGCTCTTGGTTAAGTGAGGGAAAAAATCACTGCTCACAAATCAAATCCAGCCAGTGCAGGGCACATGGGACCCAATTAAGAGCCTGAGCTACATCACTGGGCGTCCAAGACTTAATGAGTCCCAGGAGACTACGGCTCTGAAGTTACACAGGCGGCTTCGTTTTGTTTGGTGAGAACCTTCTGCACTACACGTAGTCTTCATCCACGCGGCGGCTAGGCCTCAGGCAAACTGCTTTACATCATAACCGGCTAGATACATTTCACAACCCTTGTTACAGTTTTCCTGTACCTTGAATGGTCTGTCCAGTTAGGAAAACTTCTCTAGCAATATCTGTAACTCTGGGAGGTGTTTTTATGATATCAAAGAACACAAGTTGCTCTTCAAACAGGTTGGGGCTGAAGGGCTGTCTGGTGAGCTGGTTTAGAGACCTTACGGTACCATTTTTGTCCTGTTACATACCTGTGCCTTTCTCACCGGCACCCAGCTCTTACACTTGGCTGACATGATGGGTCTGAAGTCTGCAGAACGCCTCCCAGGGGCACACCGGGCGTGCAAGGCCCTGACCCACACCCCTGCAGCCGATGACCAAGCACCCAGCGACTGCTAGCCTGGCAGCGGATGTCTCTCACAGGGAGAGCAGCGTCAGCCCCCCACAGACTGCTCCTGGCTGATGGGGGTTAGGGGGGCACACGCTGAGGGACAGAGGCTGACTAAGCCATGTGACCCCTGGTCTGAGGAGGGTGCTCTTTCCAATCTCTCCCAGGCCCTGGCCTGCCCCCGGGAACCTTACCCTATGCCCCCTCTTCTCGGGGCTTCACGGGAAGCAGCAGGATGCAATGCAAGGGGTTTTCAGGATTACTTGTGTGGATGTTTGAAACTGCTTTTAGCCAGAACCTCTGCTCAAATGTCACTGAGCACACAATGACAAGGACAGTGGAGCTGCTGTGGGCGAAGGGGTCCCCGCAGGCACTTCCCCTGCCTGGTGCTGCCCGAGGGGCTCTACCAGAACACAGTTGGAGGCTGGCTGACGCACAGGACAGAGCCGGCCTGCAGCCAGACAGACCTGAGCTCGAACCCCAGCTCTGTCTCTGCTGAGCTGTGTGGCTCGAGGCGAGTGACTTTCTCTCTCTGAGCCTCCTCTTCCAACAGGAGGAACAACAGGCACCCGTGGGGCTGCTGTGAGGACCAGCAGAGGCCCCACAGTCACTTCATTCTGACAGGGGTCTTCCCTGACACGTGAGGAGCAGCCTCCACCGTGCCCCTCGTGGCTCTGACCCCGGCTTGTTTACCTGCTCAGGGGTTGGCGTTAGGGGTGTGTCGCTGGGGAGTACAGCTGGGGTGGACACAGGAGCCGCCTGCTGGCTGGGATCCCCACGATGAGAGGCGTCAGTGCCCACAGAATTCTGTCCGGATGGTGTCTCTGAGCTGAACACGGTCTAGAGGGCAAACGACTGGATCAGTGAGGCCCGCAGGGGCCCCGGAAAGAGCCCAGAAACCAGCTGGTGACTGCTCCTGCCTCCCCTCCCAGTCCCCGAGTCTCCTCACCCGCTGGGGTGTGTGGATGGGCGACAGCATGTCTAGGTCAGTCATTGGGAACTCCAGGCCCTTCCGCCGCAGGTCCTCGTAGACGGCGACGACACCAGTCAGGTCGGGCGAGCTGCGGAACGCGTCGGCCCAGGACTGAGGGGACAAAGGGACATGGCAGGTAAAGCCCTTGTAAGCTCACCGACCCTGTCCTAGAGAACAGCAATTCTGTCCCTGAGCTGCTGGTCCTTGTACATCATTCTGACACCATACTCCACAGCAAGGCTCAACCCTGACAAGTCTCCCCACACTCTGAACGTCCAATCAACAGACAGCCCAGGTGGCCCCAAACAAGAAACAGACCGAGGCGGCAGCAGCAGCATCATCATCATCGGCACCTTTCTCCTTGCCCCACCCAGCCCGCCAGCACTCACCTGGATGAGGTTGAGCACCTTGTCGTGCACGATGGTGGGTGGGTTGTTCTTGGGCAGGATGGTCCTCACCAGCACGCCCTCCACGAAGTCCTGACTGGCCACTAGCACGTGGAAGCGGTGCCCACAGTTCTTGACACAGGTTTCCAAGACCTGGAGGCCGGGAGGTGCCCGTGAGCACCTGTCAGAGGAGGGGAGTACCCAGGGCCCCAACCCCCACTCTGCTTATGTCCCAGAGTGCCTGGGCTTCCTGAGATGAGGGACGATGTGGGATCCTGGCTGGCTTACTGGGTGGCCAGAGGCCCTTTGCTAAGTGGCCTTGGTACCCACAGAACCCTGTCCTAGGCTCTTTCTGAGCTGAGTCCCGTCTGGAGGGAGGTGGCTCTCCAGGTGGAAATCAAAGGTGGTTCTGTCAGGTGGTGACCCTGTGGCGGAGGAAAGGTGGTGAGCTTCCCTCCAAGTGCCTTCTTCTTATTCATAGCAGCAGCTGCCTTTACTTTTCAGCGTTGGGGATTCTCCTGGACATAAGGCTGCTGTGGCAGACGCTGGCACAGAGCTCTCAGCCCCACTCCCAGCAAACCCGCCCCGACAGCCAGGATGCCCACCATGCCTGGCTCATCCTATTGGGGGCATTTGTTGTATGTTCGTTTTTCAGGTGGGACGTCCAAGTGCCAATCAGCACCCACCTGTGCCTGCCAGGCTCCTGTCCCAAGTGTGGGCTCACCCTCAGGCCCTCTGGCCCGGGCTCTCCACGGCTGGTTCAGAAGGACGGGGCCTCCGTGTGCCTGCTCGCTCACCAGCCAGTAGATTGGAGAGAACTTTCCCCCAATGGCCTCTCCTGCCACTCTGTGCCCGCCAGCAGTGTAGCCAGGACAGCACTTTGCCCAGGACCCTTCCTTCCCAGCCCTTGGAAGAGGGGTCCCCGGTGGCTAGGAGTCCTGCTGGGCCCAGGGAGCCAACCCAGTGGTCTCTGGTTCGGCCATGGCCAGGCAGCCAGACTGGGCACTTACTGTGAGAGCCAGCATCACCTCGTGGAAGTTCTTATTCCCCGTGATTCTCTTCTTTATTGCTCGAAAGGCATCTTTGGGACTGGACAGAGGAAAAAAGGAGGGATGGGCTGAGGCAGGGGCCTGAGGTCAGGGGCTCTGGAGACGGGACGGCTCCTGTGAACTGCCTCCCTGTTCCTGTCTGTTTCCTGTGTGTCCAGGCTCTAATCACATCACACCCCCCCCCCCCCCCCGAGTCCTTGGGTAGGTCACCAGGATCCGTGGCAATGACTCAGTGTGTGGTCCCCGGACCTCCTGAGTGGGGGCATGTGAGAGCTGGTTAAAAACGCAGAACCTTGGACCCACTCTCAACCCCTGAACCAAACGCTGAGGGGATGTGGGTGCTCACCACGCCCCAGGGCTTGTGGTGCAGATTGAAGAACCTGTGACTGTAGGCAGAGTCCTAATGCCCGTCCTGCCAGCTCCTCTGCCCATCCATCCTTCCCCTCATCAGGTCCTGGGGAAACACTGGTGAACAAGACCACGTGGCCCTGCTAAGCCCAGGGAGGTGAGGGTCATGCCCGCTTTGCTCGCTGCTGGGTCCCCAGGCCTTGTGCAGAGCCTGGAACACAGGCGCTCAAGTCAATAGCAAGCACCTGAGGGTGAGCATCTGAGCCCTTCTCTGTCAGTCTGCAAGGACCCGCCGTGATGTGAGCTCTCCTGACTGGTCCTGACTGCCCGAAGCAGTCACCCACAGCCTCTCTTGGGCTCCAAGCTGGGTGCCCTGCCCGCTCTCCGCTGCCCCTCTGTCACACAGTGCGGCCAGGCTGAGGACCTCTCCCAGGACACCTGGACTCCCGGTGAAGAAAGGAGAGGGAAACGAGATCCTGCTCCACTGCTGACCCCGATTTTCCACAACAGGCCGCGCCTGGCTGCCCTTCCTGCTGGATGCTCCCCACCCCGCTCCCCACGCTTCCTGGATTTTCTGAGGACAGTGAACGCAGGATCCCCGCTCGGCTCCCCTCAGGGCCTTGGGTCAGTGTGGGCGAGTGCTCCCCCAACCCCTGTAGGGCAAGCTCGGCAGGGCTCCTGAGCGCTGAGCAGGACACGGTGGCCCGCACACTGAAAATGTTCGGCCATGCTCAGCTCTGCGTCATCTCACTGCCCTCCCCGTGATCCCGAGCCTGCCTGTGGTTTCACACGGTAAGGAAATGAAAGTCTGTTCTTGCTCACTGAGGAAGCCAGAGTCCCTTACACACTCCAGCCCACAGAATGCACAGAGGTCCGGGGGCCACCTCGTCATCTGAGCTGCCAGCTGGCCCTGTCCTGGTAAGACACTGCCCAGGTGATGTCTTAGGAAGACCTGCCTGGCTGGGTGCTGCTGAGAGGCTATGGGTGGGAAGCAGCTGATTTATGTTCTCTTCTCTCCCCCCCCCCCCCCCCCCCCGTTCTCTCTCTCTCAAATTAACAAAAACATTGTTTTTTGTTAATGGGCAGGAGCATCCGGGCATCTGGGGCCACGGGCCAGCCGCACACCCGGCGTCTCGGGGCCTCTCACCCATCTGCCGAGAGGGTTGACAGGACCGTGGCTCCAAATGCATGTTCCTGCCCGGGTGGGGCTCAGACGACCTCTGCAGGCCTCCTGGCCCCGAGGGGCACACGGGGTCTGCCTTTTCGCACAGAAGTGGTGGGAGGGAGGGGGGCTCTCGGGCCAGAGGTGGGTGTAGCAGGGGCGATGCTGACTGTCCCGCCTGGGCCCCAGCTTACCCTTCCTCCGTCTCGTTGATGATGTCGCAGATCTCCATGTTGAGGGCCCAGTCCTCGCTCTGCAGGGAGCCATCGGTAGCTTTCTCTGAGGAGAGGAAAGCACAAGTCACAAAGGCGTGTGGGGTCCTGGATGATAAACTCAAACGGTGGGGCATGGTGTGGTGATGGGGGTCGGGTGGGAAGAGAGGAGAGGAGGGAGGACAGTGGATGCTTTCTGGGAACCTAAGATGGGCCAGGTGCTGTGTAAGCTATGCCCCTACAGGGTCCCATTTTGTCACTTAATTCTTTTTTTTTTTTTTGTCACTTAATTTTTATTAGAAGCCACACTTGGCTGGGAGAGCGCTGTCCTGTGACGGCTGAGAAGCCGTGGCTCAGAGCACTGAGCGAGTGAGCAGGTAGGTGCTCGAATCCAGCAGCGCTGGCTTCAGAGTGCTTGTTTTTCATGTGTTAATATAGAGGTGTATGTTCTGTTTTTAAAAAAAATAATGTTTTAGTTAATTTTAGAAACAGAAAGGGAGAGAGAAACATCAATCAGCTGTCTCTTGCATGCCCCACATTGGGGATCAAGCCCACAACCTGGGCAAGTGCCCTGACCAGGAATTGAACCAATGACCTTTTGGTGCAGGGGATGATGCTCAACCAACTGAGCCACACTGGCCAGGGCAATACAGAGTGTTTTGTTTTGTTTTTATAAATGAATGATTTCGCCTGGTGTTCATTACAGGAACGATGATGGGCGGACACTCACACATGTTCTTTAAGAAGTGAAATGCTGTCCCTCCACTCAAACACGCTATCCCTCTAGATTCTTCTCCCACAGTGCAGCTTTTATTTTTTTATTAAAAAAAAATATATATATATTAATATATTTTACTAAATTTTTTTTTAACAGAGAGGAAGGGAAAGAGATAGAGAGTTAGAAACATCAATGAGAGTCATCGATCAGCTGCCTCCTGCATACCCCCAGCTGGGGATGTGCCTGCAACCAACGTACATGCCCTTGACCGGAATCGAATCTGGGACCTTTCAGTCTGACGCCTTATCCACTGAGCCAAACCGGTTTCGGCGTCACAGAGCAGCTTTTAAATAAGTCCCACCACAGCGCGCATGGACGATTTGTCTGCTGCCTTTTCAGCCACATTCCATCACGCACGTACCCCTGGCTGGTGCGTCAGGCACACACATGCACTTCTACCATGTGTAAGTGTGTGACAAAACAGGACTTCATCAGCACTTTAAGGTTCAGACACCAGGGCCGTCTCCCTGGCTCCCAGACCCTGGCTCCAGGCGTGAGCGCTCACACCTGCCGGGCTCACGTGCCCGCTGGCCCCTCACAGTCAGCCAGCTCTCACCTACCAGGAGTGCTCAATGACTGGCACGTGGAACGTGATGTGATGGCACAACTGTCCTGCAAGGGAGGTGGGCATCGCCTTGCTCACAGGGACAGACAGATTCTGGGGCTGCACAGCTGCTGGAGCGTCAGTCCTGCTCACGCGCTGGGGTGCAATGGTGGACCAGATGGACATGGCCCCTACCCTACGGCGCCCAAAAAGGCTGGGGCTCTGCGCCCTGGCTGTCATGACAGAGCGGCTCTCTCTCTTCCTGTGTGCCTGGGAAGGCCCTGTTCCAGCCAGGCAGGCAGCCCATCCCATCCTGTGGGGCAATCCCTGGGCGGGCCAGCACAGCCAGCTCTCTGGAACTGTGGCTTCTGTGACCCTGGTTTTGAAACTGGCCTGACTTCATTCCACCCCAAGTCCTACCTTGGGCCCTGCAGCCAGATGGATGCTAGGACAGCCCAGGACACATGCCGGGCAGCTGAGGCATCTAGGTAGGGACCCAGGGGCAGGGAAGGGTGGCTGTATTCCCTGGATTAGGCCTGGGGAGGGACGAGGAAGGGCTGCTGAGAGATGGACTTGTCCACCCTACCATTTTGTGGCGTGTGGCTTCTTTGTGTCACACTCTCCACGCTTGGGGGCTCACACACTTACTGAGCTAATGGGAAGAACCAAGGATGGACAGGCCTCTCTGAGCAGAGGGCGGACCTACTCTGGGGTTGGGGGGCGGTAGCTAATCATGTAGAACCTGCCCCCTCAGAAGCCATGTCTCAGTGACCCCCACAGGCCGGAAGGATTAGTCACCCGACTCTTGGACTACTCTGACTGGCACAGCCAGCTCCGACTCCCATCCTCCCATCTCCTCACCCGCTCCTCCATGCCCAGCCGGCCTCCACCCACTGTGCTCGGACCACCGCCTCCGCCTCCCGTCCATTCTCCCTGCTGCACACTCTAAACGTACTGGGAGTTGAAAGTGATTGTGTCTGTCTCAGCCCCGAATCCTTCAAAAGCCCTGAGCACCCAGCCAGGCCTCCAAGCCCTTCCACAGCAGCAACACTTTACTTCCCATGTTATGCACCGCAACACCAACACAGGCAGCTGCTCCCGTAGTGTGACTGATCCTCACACGTGTAAGGCGCACATTACCACCTCCACCAACTGACGAGGAAACGGAGGTGCCCGGCTGTGCCAGGTGGTCAGGGAGGAGTGGCCACGGGAGCCACTAGCCTGTCTCACTCAGGGATCGGGGCTCTGCTGTCCCAGAGGGCTCCCTGGACCACACAGGCATCTGCTCCTCCTCCCGGACCCCTGGCTCCACCAGCAAGCCTGGAAGTAGCTCCTCTATCAGATCCCTTACGACCCCGGCGACCCCTGAACATGATGGACACCCCTCTTCTCCTGGGCATGGAGTTAGAAGCGGTTAGGGGGCAGCTGGGATATGTCAGGATGCCATCCCGAGGAATCAAGATGGGTGCAGAGGGACCTTGAGCACGAGTCTGAGCACAGCTGGCAAACTTTAGTCCTCAATGCCAGCACTGGGCAGAGCCATTCAGAGGATGGTGTGGTTGGGGGGGGGGGAAGGAGAAAAAGGGGAGTTTCAGGCAGACTAAACAGGAAGGGTAGAGGAAGAGGAGAGAGACAGGCCCATCTGAACAATTTCAGCAGACGAGGGGGTGCCCAGACCAGGCCCGGCCCTTCCACCACACGCACCTTCCTCCTTCCCTTCAGGTCTGGGATGGACAGGACTGGGGAGACTTCCTGAAGGAAGAGACCATGAGCTGGTGTGTCCCATTAAGGGCAGAAATTTAAACCCACAGGAACCTGGGATATTAGTTTTGTTTCAGTGTTTAACCACAAAAGTAACTCGGCTAGCTATTTTAAGAAGGGGGAATAAGGAACACGGACAAGGTCGACCCGTTCCCAGAGAGTGACAGCTGACTTCTGACCTCTGAGCTGTTGGTGGCAACCTTTGAAGGCCTTGGAAGCAGTTCCGCTCTTGTCCCAGCTCCGAGGAGGCCAGGCCCCGCAAGCCTCTACCAGCCACTAGCCCCATGTTGTCAAGGACTGGCTGGCCCGTCTCTCTGCTCTCGGACCACTGCCTCATGATACTTGAACAGTAGCCTGTCCTCCCCATGCTGGGCCTGGTCAGATACTGCCTCCCGGCACCGCCTGGCACTGTGGCAAGCGCAGTCAGGTGGGGCAGTGTCATAGGCTAGTCTGGCCACACGTCGTCACTCAGGAGACCATGGGCAAGGACTCAAGCCCTCTAAGTGTCCCTTTTCTCATCTGTCAAACCAAGATAAGGCTGTCGGCTTCGCGAACATTGACTTGTCAGCCAGACAATGTCAGGGAAGGAGCAGTGACCAATAGCTGTGAGGCACCATGACCTGACTTGGGCTGAGAGCAGGAAAGAGTGGCCACCAAAGACATGTCCTCACCCACCTTATGTGGGCGGCGGGAGGGCAGGTGATGCCCAGTGCCAGGGAGGGGAGGGGGGTAAACCCTGGCCTGTGTGGCCCTAAACTCGTACACTCTCACCCTGCTCTGCCTGGAGGATGTCTCTTCTGCCTTGGTGGGCGCTGAGCTTTTGGGGACATCTCTCTCTCTCACCAGCCCTATTGTCTGGTGGGGCAGAGAATAGGGGTTCAGTCAATGTTTGTAGAAGGGCTCCCTGAGCCTCCAGATGGCCTCGCTGCTCCAGGTAAATGCTGAGTCCCCTCCCCGCCCCCACCCAGGATAGCACTCTCTGCTCCACTGACCCCAAGCTCCCCCTTTCCACTCCTGAACCCCTTGATACTGGGATGTTTCTTACAAAGGATGACCTATCAGAGCTCTGTTGGCAGCCTTTTCTTTTTACACCCATGATGCCTTAGATTCAATGACATGGGGTTTGTAAATAGCGAGGGAATGCCTTACAGGCCATGCGGGAAGCAGACCTAGCCCCACCAGTTCCCTGACCCGGGGACAGGGACAGACCGGGCGCTGGTTGACCAGGTGGAGAAGACAGCCACATGCTGCTCAGCTCTGGGCGGCTCCCACAGGCCCTCTCCTGAGAGCCCCCTCTGCACGCACAGTCATTTCCTTTTTAGTCATTTCCCATTTACTGATGCCGTTTTTCCAGCGTGAAAGTCACCTACTCATATCACTCAAAGGACCAGTGACCCTTTGTGAAGATTTCCATCTAGTCTTGACTGTTTTCAGACTCTAAAAACACACCGGTACAAGTTTTAAAAGTGTATAATAGTATTATATTATGGTTATGGCTTGTCTTAAAATAATAACCCCATTCTATAATTTAGACACACACTGAAATATTGATGAATGAAATATGATGTTTGAAATCTGTTGTAACACCCCTCTGTTTACTTTCCCACCCTCCATCTGCCTCCGCCCGAGTGTCTCTTAGCCCTTCCACTCTGGCATCTGCCTTCTGCATGCCTTCTTCCTGCCATCTGTCCCCCTCTCCGCCCTCCCCCTGAGCTCCCTGAGCTGCTGTGCATGTCCAGTTCTGTGCCAGGTGCTGCAGGAACAAAGGTGGAGAAAAGAATCCCAGCCCTCGAGGTGGTCCTGGAGGTCAGGGTAACAGCTGGACAAGCATTCTCAGTGCAAAGTGGACAAGTGAGAGGACGGAAGCCAGTTCGGGGTCCTGTGGAGCTGCGAGGAGGGTGAGCACCGGCGAGGGCACCAGTAGGTTCAACAGGAGGTGCCGTGGGAGTGAGCGCAGAGCATGAGCTCTGCTCCAGGCGAAAGG